AAATCATAGATTAAACTCTATTTTCGTACGAGTCCATCACAAGGAATGTCACAGATTACGGATCTCCCTTTTGGTTTAAATTCACACCAACACATATTGAAATTCTCACAAATACAATAATTTATTTCGATGTGTTGTATGTGTGGCGAAAAAAAAAAACATTAAGGTGCTATTTGGTAATCGGGAATGACACACCGGGAATGGGAATTCCCACTTCATTCCTTAATGGTGAGGTGTTTGGTAATCGGTAATAATATGAGAATTGGAATAAAAATAAGGAATGGGAATAAACTTTTTTTGAGATTTCATTACTTTTGGAGATGCGGGTTTAAATGGGAATGAGAACTTGGGAATGAAAAAAAAAGGCGCTATTTTTTTTTCTTAAAAATATCCTTAGCTTTTAATAAATATTACAATTATGCCACTATATATACTAATGTCTCCTGCGAAACCTAATTAGCCACCAAAGCTTACAAACTCATCTCTATCCCAGCAGCCCTTTCTCGCATGTAGCCCTTTCTTCTTCTCTCGATCTGGTTTTTTTTTTTTTTTAATCTTGAAATAAATCTAAATTGACATTGCTTTATGTTCCCTTTAATCTTAATTAGGTAGCCACCAAAATTGCAACGTCATATCTATCCCTCAACAGTTAATCTTTCTCTCTCTCTCTCTCGTTTTTTTCTCCTTCAACAACTAATCTTTCTCTCCTTGTGATATTATTTTTCTTCTTTGTTGATAATTTCATAATTTTTATTGGTGTTAGATTAATGGGCAAGTGATATTTAGGATTTTTAGGATTTTTGGTAGAGATAATTAATGTATGACGAAAAGTTTGATGGGAGAATATAGTAGTGAGAGTTGAGCCTCGCGAGGACAAGTTAGAACTTGGCGGCATATTGCATATCATATTATGAAGAGAATCAATGACCTTTTTCTTTTTTTTTAATTTTTTATCATGAATTATTTTTCGGGCAATTATATTGGGGTTACAAGTATAAATTAAGAGAACGCTACGAGTGCCAAAGCTTCGTAGAACTCCTTTTTATCCTCGAGTAATTGGCATTATTTAACTACTGCTTGCTGATTTCGTGTTTTTATCATGGCTTTGTTTAGATAACAATGATATGGCAAGTCGTAAATAAATACATCTTTAAACATCATGCGTGTTTGTTTCATGTCCATAATAAATTATGATAAAAATTTATTCATCGGGACTTAGACAAAATAGAAAGGAAGAACAAAATTGGATTTTTGTACTTATCCCTATACCTTTGGCTTGCACCTAACCTTAATGGCATTTCTAGCATGGTAATGCTTTTGTACCTAGCATTTTCACTCCGGGATTTTCGTACTTATCCCTATATTTGTTTTTTTTTTCCTCTTTTCTTTTATGAAAATGGACTGTGTTTTTGTTTAGTATCCCCTTTAGGATTTAGTTTTCCTCTTCTTTAATTTCTCAACTGCCTATATAAAGCACCTAGTTTGACATTTTAAATATGTTCTTTAATTTCTCAATTGCCTATATAAAGCACTTGGTCTCTCAATATCTTAAATTTCTCTCTCTGAATGTGTTTCTACATGTGTTTATTATAATTATAAGTGTGCCTACAAAATAAGGAATCACTATTATTTATGTACACAAATTCTACACGAGAATTTGCTTAGGTTAAATATGAACCACCTTATCCGTATAAAATATTTCACCCATCCTCTTTTCTTTTTAACAGTTATGGCTCATTCACCTCGCAACAGAGATATTGTTAGACACATCTCGGAGAGAAGATGTAGGATTAAATTGATTATTATATTGTTAACCATATTGATGTATGTCATTTGGAGACGTATGTTGAGGTTGATAAAAGAACCTAGTAGATATAATCCAAGAGCACGCATTCAACACCTCAATGGCATGATTGTTGCTAGTGACATTGCATGTATTGAACAACTTAGAATGGATAGACATACTTTTAATGTTCTTTGTTCGTTGGTTCGAGATATCGGAGGACTTAGAGATACTAGAAATATGAATGTTGAGGAAATGGTTGCAATATTCTTGCACCTTATTGCATTTAAGGAGAAAAATCGAGAAATTAAATATGATTTTCAACGATCGGGAGAGACAATAAGTAGACATTTTCATGGAGTGTTAAAAGCAATACTAAAGCTTTGGAGGGTTTTACTTAAAACCCCCGAACTCGTTATCGCCAATTGCAATGATGAGAGATGGAGGTGGTTTGAGGTGGGTGTCTTGTCTTCATAATTTTTTCTTATAATTAAAGTAAATTATCATTAATTTAACTTTAGTTTTATGTTTACTCTAGAATTGCTTAGGAGCTTTAGATGGCACATACATTAGAGTAAATGTACCGATACTCGACAAGTCACGATATCGAACAAGAAAAAATGAAATTGCAACAAATGTTCTAGGCGTGTGTTCTCAAGATATGCAATTTATATATGTTTTGCCTGGTTGGTAAGGTTCATGTGCTGATGGAAGAGTGCTTCGAGATGCTTTAACTAGGACAAATGGGTTGAAAGTTCCTAAGGGTGAGATATATTATATATGCAACCTTATATATTACACTAATTAATATTTAATATTCTAATTTTTTATTTTTTATTTATTAGGTTTCTATTATCTTGTTGATGTTGGATATAAAAATTGTGAGGGATTTCTTGCTCCTTATAGAGGTCGGCGTTACCACCTAAATGAATGGAGAACGGGACATCAACCAAATACGCCGGAAGAATTTTTTAATATGAAACATTCAAGCAGCAAGAAATGTGATTGAGAGGACATTTGGATTGTTGGAGTTACGTTGGGAAACACTTAAATATCCAACTTACTATCCTATTGATACACAAATTGATGTCATATTAGCGTGTTGTTATATTCACAATCTCATTCGACAACAAATGAGACTTGACCCAATGGAGCAATATTTAAATACCTTAGTAGAAGACGATAGTAATAACGTAAATTATACTCGCTACTACCGAAACAACAAACCAATGGACTTCTTGGAGGGATAATCTAACTAGAGAAATGTATGATTCATGGAGAGCTAGGTGACAAAATAGATAATATTTTATTGTTTTTATTTTGCATTGAGATTTTAATTAATTTAATTTTTTTTATTATGCTTTCATCTATCAATGTTTTAACAATTATATTATTTGATTGGTGGTATGTATATTGTTTATTCCAAATGTGATGTGAACAGTATGTGATTGTTTTGCATATATATTTTCTTATGCAATTCTTTTATTAGTTAGATGGAAAATTTAGAAGTGGAGCAAGTTAATTTGCGAGCATGAACTCGGTCGAGGAAGGGGTAGGAATAAACGAATGTGGAATAGCGAAGAAGAATTGGTGTTAGTTGATATCCTTTTGGAAACAAAATGGAAGGTGGATACTTGGTTACAAGAATGGATTTTTTACTCATGTTGAGAAGCTTATGGAAGAAAAATTACCGGGATGTGGTATTAAAGGCAAACCGCATATTGACTCAAAAATTAAGATATTGAAGAAGTAACTTGGTTATATATTAGAGATTCAAAAAAATGGTAGTGGATTTGGATGGGATGATGATAAAAAAATGGTGATAGGAGATAAATCGGTCTTTATGGGATGGGCAAAGGTAAAGTTCATCTTTCTTTTTCCTCTATCTTTCAAGTTATTATTAAAAATTATTTTTTTGTTGTTTAATTTATTAATACAATGTTATTATGTAGAGTCGTGATGGAGCATCAGCATTGTATATGAAGCCGTTTGTCCATTTTGATAAATTGTGTGAAATATATGCAAAAGATAGGGCTAATGGAGATAAAGCTCGAGGAATTTGAGAAGAAGAAATTACGGTAGATAACCAAACCGACAACGATGTGGATGATGGAGATACTAATGAGATGCATTCAAACTCAACATGTTCAGCTTTTATAAGTCAAGAAGCGACCTATTCATCCGAAGTCTGGAAAATCAAAGTACAAGAGAAAATTTGGAGGAACCGATCCTTTACAAGCGAGTTTATGGAGCTATCAAAGTCCATCAAAAGTTTAGTTGAAACCGAGAAGGAATTAACATATGTTATGAGTGAAAAAAGGAGCAAAGTGTTTGAAACTTTAGCGAACCTTGAAGGACTTTCTCCGAGCTGAATTAGTTAAAGCGACAAGCATTATTGGTCAAGATGATAAGAAGGTGGAAGTGTTTTTTAGTATCCCGGATAATTATAAGGTCATGTTTGCACGTATCGAGATTGGGTCTACTAATTAATTGTAGCAATGTTGCTGCTTACACTTAGCAGATAGTTGAATTTATAATTTTATGCTTTTTTAAGAATTTTTTTATAGCGTAGTCACGCTCATATGTTGATCTGGAAAATCATTTGACACTATTTAAGTTGCATTTATAGCATACTTTAGATTGATATGAGCGAGTTATTTGCATATTTTAGCCTTGAATATATTTCCGTATAATTGAATTTTGTGTTTTAATTTAAAAGTTGGTGTCGGATCCCGATTATGATTACATTTGTGTTGTTATTCTTAAGCATGTCAAGTTGGCATTAAATCATCAATTTAACAAAAGAAAACATAAAATTAACTATGAGCGAGCAAAGTATATTATTATTATTATTATTATTGAGTGCCCTAGGTTGAGAGATTCTGAAAAATATATAATTATAGGAGAAATTAGAGAGAGACGAACGGCGATGATGAGCCAAAGATCCGAGGAGCTTGCTCGGCTTTGAGGATATCGAGAATATCGGAGGCGTCTCTAGGAAGCCGATCTAGAGCTACCCTAACTTCTTCCTCCGAGTTTTGTATCGGTATGTACACACGCGCCATTGATTCACCGATTGATTTTCTCGACAGATTTAATCATAGTTAATTTGAAAGTCTCAAATTTTAATTTAATTGTTCCGGTGACTCTACCATCCATTTTCATCATATTGTCTCCGGAGAAGACAATTCATTGAATGTCCCCGAGGAGACAAAAAATGGCATCCGATGAGACTGCGGAAGATTTTTATATTTCACGAGCATTGGTTGATACTCTCCAACTCAAAAAAAACTAGAATAAATGAAAAATAATTAAAAGTGGAGAAAATTTGAGGTATGACATCTTTGCTGGCCTAGGAAGTTGAGTCTTCAATCCTATCCATTGGTGATGACACTCGCTTCACCGAGGTCTCGCTTCCATAAATAATTTTTCAGTTCCTTTCTTTAGAAAAGCCCTTTTATTTTGATGTACAAGATCGTTGCCAGTCGTTGTAATTGCATCGCCCAAATCGATACATGCGGACTGAATGGTTATCCTCAACTTTTTAAACTCCTTCTCTCTTAGATCTTGTTGGTTTTTAAAATGACGCATTTCCTTATTTTTCAAAAATAATTCATGCTTAAGTCGTTGTATTTCCTTGTCTCTCGTTCGTAAATGGTTCACGGGGCCATTTTTTTATCAATCAAATAATGCTTTTAGACATAATGTCCTTTTCAAGAATCGGGAAAAATGTGTGATCGTAATAGGTAGTTCAATAAGAAAAAAAGACTATTTTTAGCCGTAATCAAGGAGAGATGATAAAAAATTGTCTTTATTTGATTGATAAAAAATATTCATATAATCTTTTTGTGTGTAAAACAATTAGCTTGTTTTAAAAGAATAATAAAAATATTCATATAATCTTTTTTTAAATTTTAATTGTTTTTATGACAAAATTTATTATGGTCGTTGAAGGATACGATGGTAATTATACGATATCATTCCGATTCCTATTTGTCTATACCAAACACGGTAATAGTTATTTCGGTGTTTCATTCCAATTCCTAATAATAAGATACCAAACACAATATTTCGATTCCCATTCTCTCGTTTTTCATTCCGATTCCTTCATTTCCATTCCTATTGTTTTATTCCCGATTACCAAACAGCACATAAAGGAATGATAGATGCCGGAAGATAATTGAGTTATTCGAAAAAAGAATATATTGCTTGTTGGCAAATTGTAAAATCATATATAATCTTCTTGAACTAATTAAAGAAAAAAGAAAAAAAAGCCGATGAGACAACTACTCTAGGTTCTTGGTTCGGTTCAGCTTTGATAGAAGTGATGTTGGGTTCGATCATTATAACAAAAAAATCCACGGGCAACTCCACTCATCATTAGACAAACAAAAGCAACCCAATAAAAATAAAAATAAAAATTAAGTGACTTATCCAATAATTGTGGAATTTTGATTCAAAAGGGAAATTGATAAACTTATCATTCTTGTTTGTAATAAATTATGGGTTTTATCTATATATGTTCTTTTTATTTTTTGAATTATTTTAATTGAGATTATGTACTCTTTTTCATATTGATTGATTCTCTCTATTTTTTATTTTGGTTTTTTTTTTCGTCTCTTTATTATAATATTGTTAGTTATGAGTCGACCGAATATGTCTACTCTTGAAAATATAACAAGTATCATACATGGAATCTTAATAGAGACTCAATCAAAATAATTTAAAGAGTACAAAGTTTAAATAATTTTTTTTCTTTTAAAATTTTTATGTTATTATGTCTTTAAAACCTTATATGGAATGCTATAAAATATATCATATGTGAGATCTCATTACGGTAAAACTCTATATAGTTTTTTTAAAAATATATATATATTATAATAATTTAAAAATAATAAAATACATATAAAAAAATATAAAATGCAATTTAAAAAATAAAGTACAAATATATTCATTAAAAAAATAATGCTTGACTAGTAACTAATATATCAAACAAAAAATGGGGTACGGTCCCAAGTTTTATTTAGAGTAACCCTATTTTTCACTATGTATTGATCAAATATTTAGAATTTTTTACTTTTTTATGGAGTATTTACTCGTTAACTAGGAGTTCGTGACTAATTAAAATTACACAATACCATCTTTTGTTTTAATAATTACATGGTAAGTTCCTATTCGTTTATGGCTAGATTGTTTTGTGATATATGAATAATGGAGGTTATGTTGCTTTTAGTTGGAAGATGAGTGATGGAGGCTAGGGTTTTTAGGGTAAGGGAATAATTGTGGAGGCTCTTCCAAAAAATAAAATGAAATTGTGTTTATATTGAGATTTTTTAGGATTTGGGATAAAACCAATTTTGGTTCTTCCTTGGTTTTTTTTCAATTTCAATGTATGTTTTATTATTTTTCTCCAATTAGCTCATTAATTAAAATTGTTTAATCCAAATTCTCTTGATTTCTTTTAATTTCACATTGATTAATTCTCAATTAATTTTCTAGATTTTTTTTCTTTCCAATTACATCTCTATTTGAATGTCACTTAATCCTCGTTTTTCACGTCATTTTCAATTGGATCCCAAATCATCTTCTCAATTTTTTTTATTTTTTTCTCTTTTTTTAATTAAAAATGGGGAATAATTCTAAGAAACTAAAATCATGAAAATTTATAAAAATGCTTAAAAATCATGAAAAAGACAAACTATGCAACATTCTCTTTTTTTTTTTTTTTTTGAATTTCTCTCTCTCTCTCTCTTTTAATTTTTAATGTTGTATGAAAATAAATGGATTATCAAAATGGGTTACGACAAACTAAATCCATAATTCATATTTTACTTATATTTCTTTCATGTCTTGGACATTGACTAATAAGTTTTTTCACTCGTGCGGGGTACACTACTCCAGCGAGGTTGGTTGTTGTGGTCCGTCCACCTACTGTTCGTATGAATCCGAAACCATAAATGATCCTTTCACCTTCAATCCATGGCGATGGAAGCTAAATATTTCCATGAATTATTAAAAGTGATGACTAGTCTAGGTCAAAATACATTCTTTGTACCTTTACTTTTTTTTTTTTCCCGATAAGGTAACTTCCTTTTTATTGTTACTTAACTTCGGATAATAATTTGGTCGTGCTGATAGAAAAAGATCATACATTAATAGAAGGAAAATGTTGCGGATACAAACAAATCATAGATTAAACTCTATTTTCATACGATCCATCACAAGGTATGTCACAGAATACGGATCTCCCTTTTGGTTTAAATTCACACCAACACATATTGAAATTCTCACAAATACAATAATTTATTTCGATGTGTTGTATGTGTGACAAAAAAAAAAACATTAAAGGAATGATAGATGCTAGAAAATAATTGAGTTATTCCGAAAAAAGAATATATTGCTATTGGCAAATTGTAAAATCATATATAATCTTCTTGAACTAATTGAAGAAAAAAGAAAAAAAGCCGACGAGACAACTACTCCAGACTTCTTGGTTCGGTTCCACTTGACGAAGTGATGTTGGTTGGGTTCGATCATTATAACAAAAAATCCACGGGCAACTCCGCTCATCGTTAGACAAACAAAAGCAACCCAATAAAAATAAAAATAAAAATTAAGTGACTTATCCAATAATTGTGGAATTTTGATTCAAAAGGGAAATTGATAAACTTATCCTTATTGTTTGCAATAAATTATGGGTTTTGTCTATATATGTTCTTTTTATTTTTTGAATTATTTAAATTGAGATTATGTACTCATTTTCATATTGATTGAGTCTCTCTATTCTTTATTTTAGTTTTTTTTTCGTCTCTCTATTATAATATCGTTAGTTATGAGCCGACCGAACATGTCCACTCTTGAAAATATAACAAGTATCATACATAGAATCTTAATAGAGACTCAATCAAAATAATTCAAAAGGTACAAAGTTTGAATAATTTTTTTCTTTTTTAATTTTTATGTTATTATGTCTTTAAAACCTTATATGGAATGCTATAAAATATATTATATGTGAGATTTCATCACGGTAAAACTCTATATAGTTTTTTTTTAAAAAAAATATTATAATAATTTAAAAATAATAAAATACATATAAAACAAATATAAAATGCAATTTAAAAAATAAAGTACAAATATATTCATTGAAAAAGTAATGCTTGACTAGTAACTAATATATCAAACAAAAAACGGCAGTCCCAAGTTTTATTTAGAGTAACCCCATTTTTCACTATGTTGATCAAATATTTAGAATTTCTTACTTTTTTATGGAGTATATACTCGTTAACTAGGAGTTCGTGACTAATTAAAATTACACAATACCATCTTTTGTTTTAATAATTACATGGTAAGTTTCTATTCGTTTACGTATTATTTTATTATTTTTAATCTATTAGAACAATATTTTATAAAACATTTCAATGTTTTACTATGACGAAGTTTCACATATCATACATTTCATATATTTATTATGAGGTTTTAAAAAATAATGAATGAAAATTAATAAAAAAATTAGTTATTGCACTTTTTGAATTGTTTTGATTGAACTTTTATATTAGAATTCTATCTGTGATGAATATTATGTTTTTAGGACTGGATGCATCACGGTAGAACCACTTCAGCTAATAACTAAGGGCATCATAACGGATGGACAAAAATAAAATAAAATAAAGAGTAAAAGTACCTGATGAATACGAAAAAATACATCAGAGTTTCGATTAAAATAATTTAAAAATAGAGAGACTATATAATGGGAAAACCCCAATAAATTATGTAGAAAACTGAAGCAAATTGCATTGAATTCAACAGACGCAACTTGTGTGATGTTAAACTGAAATGGATTGGGTCCAAGCAAAAAGTTACACGTTGCGTGACAGTTGACTATCATTGACTTCTATCAGATAAAAAGGCAAGCTGCAGTGATGCCGTGCCGCCTTACTCTTAGGAAAACATGCATGAGTAATCTCTTGTTACTTTATTATGTATAATTGTAAAGGAATTCCCGATGATGAAATTCATAAGTATTTAATTAATTATGTATTTAGTTGTCCTATCCAATTAGATATGGTTTTAATTCTAAAATAAAATAAAATAAAATTGTAAAATTGCGAAAAGAGTTCACCAAGCACTTGCTAATTAACATTATAAATAAAAAATGAAGGGCCTTAATTAATTCTCATAAGTAGTAGCAATATATTCTAGTGAAGAGGTTAAGGTTAAGAAACGCCAGCTGGTTACATCCTATCGAGAAGTATATGACGACAAGGTGCATTTTTTTCTTGTTTTTCTTAAACCAAACTCTTTCCCTCCTTATGGAACCGACCTTCTCTTTAATATTTATAAATCCCTCCTAAATTCACTACTAATATTGTGTATGTTACGAGCTTCTCCTCCTTGCAGAAGAACGCATACTCAGAGACTAAGGAAATGAGTGATCCAAACAAGCAAGCCTCCAACAAGGGCCATGGACATGGCTACCCCTCAACAACCTTTGCGGATCTTCCGCCGGCAAGGTGGTCAATCAAGAAGAAGATTATAGTGGAAGCACTCCAATTCTATTCATCAAGCTCCTCGCCGTTGGAGAAAAAAGTCCAGGCCTCTTAATAATTGGAAGAAAAGGGGTGTTTAATACTTTTTTTTTTTTTTTTACTTGTGTGATTGTTCTTATAATACTGTAGTCTGTAAATATTTCATATGCTATATCTGGAAGGCAAAATGGATTGCTTTGTGTAAATATTAATTTCCTACTTGATTATGATCTACTTTGAATTTTTACCGTTATTTATTGATTGCTTTGCTTAATTTCTACCATCTGTGAATTGATTCTCAAATATGTATAATAGAATCTGTGAATTGATTCCTTTCTTTGCTTTTAGTAAAGAAAGGAATCAATTCACAGTTAAGAGTCCTTAGTTTTGTTTCCTATTTTATGAATTGCTAGCTCTTGCTATGGTCTTGTGATTACCTATATCCTGCTGGCTCGAGTAAACTGCAGTGTCATTAACAACATCCAAGAAACACTTACTCCACACGTTCTTCGCACTATAAGTCCATTCCAAGATCATATTATTGTTTAACAGTAAGTGATACCAAACCTTTTTTTACCAACTTTGGCAAGGGAACATCTTGTTTAAGCTCTTTGGCCAAGTGCATCAAGACCCAAACACCACGGTCCCACGACAAACCCAAAACCTCATTCCCGTCTCTAGTTATGCGCATGCCAGTAATGGTAATTACGCGCTCATCACCCTCATCGGGAAAAAACACAAACCGCTCATTTGCATCCTTTTTATGATCAAAGACCATCCCTTCCCACCATTCATCCTCTAAACAAGATATCAACACAAACCCCAAAACCAAACGTTTCAAGAGCATCATCAGCTGACTTACGCTAAGCATGATGACATAAGAGTGTCTACACCAATCCATAAAGTCAAATAATCATAACAAAAAAAAGGAAGGAGTAGCCGAATGCCATGGAGGGACTTGGGCCGAGAGGTTGCTGAAGAGTGAAGGCCGAAAAATTGCTACTTTGAAAGGCAATCTTTGGGCCGAACTTTTCCTATTTTTATTTAGTCAATTACTATTTTTTTTTTTCTAGTGCTACACTACGAATTGGATAAAATATATAGAGTCATTTAAAAAAATTATTTCAGTTTTATAATCTATTTTATGAGGTGAATCTATAAAAATATATAAAATCAAAGGTGAAAAAAATTATTTATAATTTTTTTAATAAAAAAATTTGTATTTAACTATTCCTTATTTATTTTTTTCATTATCTTTTCTTTAGAAAAAAGATTTATCTTTGTTAATCCATAGATTATTAACTAAAATAAAAAATTAAATAAATTTTTTTAAAAAGCTTTAGTATGTCATAAAATTATGTCAAAAAAAATAACAATTATTAAAAGCTTACACAGAAATGAACAAATAATTTTTTGTATTTTTTATTTAATGTTGATGAAAATATCAATTTTTGAAAAAATGTGAATTTAATTTTTATATATTTATTTACAAAAGAATGAATAATATTAAAATAAAAACTATATTAATTTGAATCATTGAGTAGTTAAGACAAAACATAATTTTAATTATTTAATTTAAAATAATTTAATTTTAAAATATTAAAAAAAATAAATAGTAAATGCTTAGTGTAGTAGTTGCACAATTAATTTTAAAAAAAACAACGATTCAATATTTTATACTAAGTGAGTTCGTAGTTTTCAGTCTAAAATAAAAAATACTATAAAAAACAATTAACTTGCAAGGAATCTATTGACTAAATTTGAAGTTAATAGATTAAAATGAAAATTATTACAAATTTAATTTTGATTAATTTTGATTACATAAAGAAGAAACAAATCAATAAGATATGTGAATTCTTTTTCTTTTTTTTCCTCCTTAAATATTTTTTTATTTCTATTCTATGCATGGTAAGTCCTTGAATACGAGCCTCACGAGTAGAGCAATCATCTTCTTTTTATTTTTTACATTTTACTTTCAACTATTAATTAACTAATTTGAGTTTTTTTTTAAAAAAAAATTGAAATACACTTTTAATCTAAAAATATATTTAAGACAAATTATATATGTTAATCATGTCACTACAATTTAAAATTATTTAAATCTATTTTTTAAAAGAAAAAATAATCATATTCTAAAAATTTATTTCAAAATCCATGCATATAGAAAAATAAATCACAATTATCAGAAAATATAATTTTAAATTAATTGGATGAGAATTAAAAAATAAAAAATTAAAGTAGTAAATTTTAAATAATAAAAAGCACTAAAACAAAATGAGACCAACTCACAATACAATTAAAGTTTCAAATTGAAAAAAAAAATGTATAGAAAATTTGAGGAACATAAAATTTTAATTTAATTGGATGAGAATTTAAAAAATAAAAAATTAAAGTAGTAAATTTTAAATAATATAAATAATTAACAAAAAAACACTAAAACAAAATGGGACCGAATCATAATACAATTAAAGTTTAAAATTAAAACAAATATAGAAAAATTGAGGAATAAGAATGTATTTCAGACAAATTATATATATTAATCATGCTACCATAATTTAAAAATTATCTAAATCTATTTTTCAAAAGAAAAACTAATCATGCTCTGAACATTTATTCCAAAATCCATACATATAGAAAAATAAATTAAAATTTTCAGTAAATATAATTTTAAATTAATTGAATGAGAATTTAAAAAAAATGACAAATTAAAGTTGTAAATTTTAAATAATAAAAATAATTAACAAAAAACACTAAAACAAAATGGGACCAAATCACAATATAATTAAAATTTGAAATTGAAAAAAAATATTGTGAAAAATTGAGGAGCATATAATTTTAAATTAATTGGATGAGAATTTAAAAAAATAACAAATTAAAGTAATAAATTTTAAATAATAAAAATAATTAACAAAAATGCTAAAACAAATGGGACTCAATCACAATATAATTAAAGTTTGAAATTGAAAAAAAAAACAGAGAATTTAAAAAAAAATGAAAAATTAAAGTAGTAAATATTAAATATTAAAAATAATTAATCAAAAATACTAAAACAAAATTGGACCAAATCATAATACAATTAAAGTTTGAAATTGAAAAATATATATATATATAGAAAAAATTGAGGAGCATATAATTTTAAATTAATTGGATGAAAATTTTAAAAAAAAATGACAAATTAAAGTAATAAATTTTAAATAATAAAAATAATTAACAAAAATGCTAAAAAAAATGAAACTTAATCATAATATAATTTTATACAATGTAGACTTTCTTTCTAGATTTGGCTATTTTGATAGTAATTGCATTTGTAAGTTTTTTTTTTTTTTTTAATGTTGGAAAATTTTCTATATTTTTAAACATAACATTAACCATATATTGATGTTTAACAAGTTAGTCATTGCTTGAAATGAAATCTATTATAAGCTATATCATTGATATGTTATTATAATTAGCATAGTTAGATTTATTTTAGGTTTGACAATTTGAGAAAGGGCTACGGTATTCAGGTATCTTAGGAAAGTTATTGGTGTTTCAAATTTTAGTCATTCTATCAAATATTATGAACTCTTATATAAAACATATGACTTAAAGCTCATTGAGTCCATTCCTATCATATATGCAATTGAAGGGATCCAAAATTACTGATGTGTTCCATCAACCTATCGTGGACATATTCATCTAACACTAGAACTTTGTGAAGACTCTATAAAAACATACAAGCACCAATATCTCTCTAGGTTGAAAGCTTTAGGGCCACAAAAAAGTAATTCGGTACAAGTAGCAAACACAAATCAAGCTGAAACTTAATAAATAAGTTCGACAACAAGCAAACAAATGGTCGAACCTTAAATCCTACAATACAACACTAACCCAAGATCAACACAAATAAATTAAAGTCCATAAATAATGAGGAAGCACACAAAATCAATCCAATCTACCAACTCATATAAAATTGAAAATCACAACACAACAATCACTCTCAAAAACCCTATAAACTAGGGTAAAGCTAAAAATTTATTAAACTTTATCAGAATAAAATAAAATTTTAACCAAATCCTATTTAGACTTAACAAAATTGATGGTAAAAGTTTAGAATCAATCTGAAAACCTTAGCCTTTATTTCTAGAGTTGTTGCATCTCTTTAAAATTTGAAATTCAAACAGCACAACTTAGTGAAAATTGGAACCTACCAAGGCTTCTAGATACAATCATTTTAATTCAATTTTTAATTTAAAAAAGAATCAGTAAATCAAGACCTATTTGTAAAGAAAGTCAAGATTTACGGGATACGTACATCAAGAACTCAAAGATACAGATACCACCACTTTAGATTCTTAAATGCGAGTGATCAAGCTATCACTTTGAATAATCAATATCAAGGATAAAGCCATGTTCTATGGATACCCCATTAGCATTTTGACTCTGTGGATCGATGTAGATACTCTATTGGTTGAAAAGAATCATCCTTGATATTTTAGACTCGTCCTCCTCATCAGCATCAAAATAAAACTCAAGATCACATACTTTGAAAGTGTCTGAAACATATAGCTTTCTAGAAGCTCCACCTTGTACAAGTCATTTCCAACTTTCTCTATCATAAAAAAAGGGTCCATCCACTTCTTTAAACTTAGAATATCTTATTTTGAAGAACCATTTCTTCCTCATGTGAGCTCAAACTAAATCTCTCTCTTGAAATGCCACTAGTCTCTTAAATTTACTAACCTCTCTAGACTCTCTCGTCCTACATAACCAAAGAACGATACCCGATTTTGCATAAGTCTTTCTTACATAAAACTCATACGCACTATCTAAGACTACCTCTTTAATCTTTCTCTCGACTTTTTCTAAAATTAGTAACACAATTTTCAACCTCAATCACACCCCCAATGTCGATCATAATATTCCTAACATACCCCATCTTGGTTTCCCTATGTTTGGTGGCTTATTTCTTTACTACATTACTAAGTTTGATGCTAACCTCCTTATGTTCTCCAATATCACTAATATAAGGGTCATCAACATCTCCATCACAGTACTTATCATACCTAGTTGATTAACCCTAATCTACATACTCATCATACCCATCACCACATACATTAGAATCAAACACAACATCATTGTTACCTAATTGATCCAAACCACACACATTCTTATCTCTACCCAAGTAAGCTGAATCATTATTCCTAAATTTTGGCTGTAATTTACCAATATACAAAAATAGGGTTTAAATCATGCCTTTGTCATCCTTTGCGTCTTTCACAGGTTCTATCCTTATAGGTAGTATGTGATTTGATCCTCACCCATGATGAAGGAATAAATGTTGTGGTATCTGTCATGCATAGCTCTTCTATCATACTATCATGATATCCTTGGTAAATTATGGCAAACATCCATTGGAATTGCATAAAACTAGATTTGATCTGTATATACTTACCTAATAGTGAACTTTGTAAAACATTTTTTATTCACTATTTTTTTCATTCCCTATCGTCACCTAAGACATATATATATATATATATATATGATAGGGTATATAGTGATTAACTATAAGTAGACCTGTTTGTTGACCATCTTCATAGATATTGCATTCGCATAAGCCCCACTATCAATAATGGCATCACATATCCAACCATGAAAAGCGCATCATATATGGAATTCCTCCACCATTCATCCTCGACATCAATGACTTCATAATATAGTAATTTATTTAACATCAACATATCTCTCCCATCAATATATAACTCTCTTTACTTCAGCTGACACCTCTTCTGTTTTATTTTTCTCTTCTTTAGCTTCATCGCATTCAGTTTCATCAACCAAGTTTATAATTCTTATGTTTGGGCTATCAGAGGTAATGAGCCTAGACTCTTG